GTGAATTTTCGGTAAAGTACGCTATGCTGACTTCTCTAACTTTAAAGATGCTCTGTTTCTATATGTGAAATGGGACCCAGTGTGCCTCGATCAAAGAGATGAGCAAGTAGGAAGGCAGATCTGACACTAGTTCCTGATCTGAACATTTAAATGAAATACAGCATCTTTAAAAAGCATGCCCCCTGCCACTGACTTCATCTTTATTCATTTCATTTTCATTATGCCCTTCAAAATCTTCATCTTCAGTCTAATTTTAATTAAGAAAGAAGCCTTTAAAAGGACTCTAAAACCTGCAAATCTACTGCATGGCATTTGGACATGTTTTAATTTTGGAAACCATGCCTCTCAAAGTCATGTCGCTGCTAAAATATTGGTTCTTAGTTACTCCAGTGAAGGCATAAAGGTGGTCGACAGTTGAAATCTTGGTTATAGGGAGGCAACTTAATGACTTTATAACTGACACTAGGGAACACAGGTCTTTTCTGTAAGCATCCTTAACCATTGTCCCAAGAGCTGGAGGCTGCATGCTTCTGGGGGTCACATTCTCCATCCTCTCCTAAGGGTGGTGGGTAGATCTGGTGTGGGTTGGTGGCCACTTGGCCTTCCAGCCTACATGTATGGACCACAGACCACATGACTGCCCACTGCTGAAATTGTACCCTAGTGAAGTGGGCCCTCATGTGTCCTATCCATGAGGCTGTCAAAGCTCTTTCTGGAAGCCATCTGTCCCCTCCTGCCAGGACCTTGGTCCCATGGCCATGTTCCCATCTGGTCTGGTGCAGGGGATATTGCTGGGTCTCAGGGCTTCTGTGCAAGAGAAGGTGAGACTGGCCTGAATGGAACTAGAGCATGTGGTGAGTCCTAGGTGCCCCGCCCAGTTTGTATTTAAGGATCACACTTTTTGCCACATGAGAGCTCTGCATGGATTGACAATATGGAGAGCTGAATTCACAGGTCAGTCCCCGGGCTTGGGAGGGACAGCTGGCTCTGTCATGTTGACCTTCCTGGCAGGAGCGGTACATCACACATTCACTTTTTTTTTTTTTTTTCCCTTGACCATTCAATGCCCTGAATCACTTCTTATAATTCTGAAACCTGTTATTGTATGCTGATATTTTTGAAAGCTGTGTGAACTCAGTAGCTAATCTGACATGGAATCTGTCAGGTCTTGTCTGAGGCCCAGGGATAAGGGACATCAGAGACCTCTTAGGGCTAGAGGTGGGGTGTGGAGAGCACTCACTCACATTTGAGGAAGTAGAGAAGTCAGGCTTTCAGCACCTGTTCCCAGGTGTGTCACAGGCCAAAGAGTTAACTCTGAACTTGACCCTTGTTAACCTTCCCTATCCAGACCTGTATCTATGGAAGATAGCAAGCGCTTAAATTGTGCCCCTGTTCTAACACCAGAAACTCCCTACCCCACCCCCCATCTTTTAGATGGCTTTATTGTAACATCAGCTCAAAAATACAAGTCAGGCTCATTCATCTTTTGCTTGACACACAGTGGCACTGCATGGAAATTACAACTTCACTTTCCTTGCTTCCACTGATGAAAGCTAACCTAGGATGGACTCAAAGTCATTTTTTTGGTTTTTCCCTTTCTACAGTCAGCAAGGAGCTCTGGTAGCGTAGTGGTTACGAATCGGGCTGCGAACCTTAAGGTCAGCGGTTCGAAACTACGAGCTGCTCCGTGGGAGAAAGATGAGGCTTTCTACCCCCATAAAGATTTACACCCTCGGAAACCCTGTACAGGGTCGCTATGGGTCGGAACCGACTCGATGGCACTTCACAACAACAACAACAACAGTCAGCAGAGCAAGATCATATAACCAGAAAGGCTTTAACCCAGGAAGGCTCTCACATTTAGTTTTACCTAAACTGCTATGGTTCATAGAAAATGTTCAATGGCGCCCTCCTTCAGGTGGCACCCAGGGTACGTGCCACCTCTGCCATGCCTTAGATCTGCCTCTGTCCCATTACCTTTGTGCTGTAACTTAGCCCCAGTGGCCTTTGAGAGACTGCAGACCATGGACAAGGCAAAAAGAAAAGGCCAAAGAACATCCATTGGATACAGCTCATAGGAATAGACTATGAATCGCCAGGTCTCTGTTCCTGCTTCATCCACTTTTAATGTTCTGACTCCTTGACCTCTTCTCTCTTTCCAGAATGTTCTTAACTGACAAGTAAAGCTCTGGCCTTCCTTGCCTGGTGATATAGTACACATCAAGGTTCTCCATAGTTATCCCAGGCCCAGTAAAAACAAAAAACCCAAATGGACCAACCCTCTGGGAATGGCCATGTGGGTGATATTAGTCGTTATCCTTTGAATGAGCAGTCTCTTCCTTCATCAGCAACCCCAATGAAGAGATCTTCAGCCCCGTATTTGCTTTACAGGTGCAGGTTGCACTGTAGCACTTAGGACGTATATTTATTTACACAACCTTCATTTTCAAAGACATTGATTCATTTCAAGTGGTGACAGTTTTAACCTTTACTTGGAAAATGGAGATCCATTTCATGATCCCCAGTCCAGAACTCCCAAACTCTGTGGTAGTGGATGAGTAGTGAATCAAGTGCCTCCTAATGAGGCTTGGTTCCCCCAAGAGCCAAGTAGTTAGTTGTATTTCATGCCAAAGCCACAGCCCATACTTGAACCCAGGGCCCCCAGTTCCTCATGCCCATCTGGAACTTCTTGAGCTCCTGGTCTGGAGGGGTGGCTGGCTCTTTCCATTCTAGGAAAGTACCCTTCAGAGGAAGGCTTTCCTCACATACTGATTCTCCTTGGATTTCTCACCTCAACTGTCATTTCAGATTTTAAAGACCTGTTTGCTTTTCTGTGTGACCCTGTGACCTTAAGCCTGGAGCATTTTCCCACATGCACTGTAGACTAAAACTTCATTCACTCGTTCTTTGTTATTGTATAAAGCCAATGAAAATTGCATTTTGTTCATTTGTCTGTATTTTATCTTTATTTGTATCACTACATTATCATCATCTGAGAATTCCATGATTGCAAAGCATGAGTATGCTTGTGTGATTTTTAAATTTCAGCTGCCTTAGGTTTGGGTAAAAGATGTCAAGGAAGGTAAGTGGTTTTCGGTGAATTGTAAAAGTTTATCTACTTTCTGTCATGCTTGATAAAAAGGGTGTGCTTCTATTGAGTATTTTATTGGTGATCTGAACAACCCATCCATCTGAACTCAAGGGGTGATTGGTTACCTTTACCTATTATGATCACAGCTCAGGAGCAGTTTTGGGGGTAAATCACCTATCAACAAGCCCCCTTAGTGTAGATCTAGGGGTGGGTGGAGGAAAGAGACAGCAACAGATGGCAGAGTCATTCATGGAGAGCGGTAAAAGTTCAGAGCAGATGGGACAGCTAACACTGTGGAAAGTTCTTGTAGAAAGAATCTTTTCTGGACCTGATGATTATTTTGTCCTGAGAGGACAATTCATTCATTGATTCAAAAACATAAAATTCAAGTTACAAGTGCCTGGAAACTGAGGGAAGTTTTAGATACCTGCCCAGTTTCCCTTTCCTCCCCCACCATGGTTGTTGTTGATGTTAAGTGCTGTCAAGTCGGTTTTGACTCACAGAGACCTTGTGTAGGGTTTCTGAGGAGCAGCTTGGAACTGGCTGCCTTGTGGTTCGCAGTCCAGTGCTCGTCAGTCCTATAGCACCACACTGGGAGCCCCCCACTGGGGTAGAGCTCCACATTCTAGTCTTTTCTGATGCTTCAGCAACAGCCCACATGTTCCATTCTGCTCCTCAGTTGGACCACAGTGGAGAGAACAGTGCTTGAAGAAGACTCACCCCTGAGAATGCTATTAAAGGGAGACCCTTCTGCCCCCTGCTTTGCATTGCTTACAGTTATTATTATTTTATGATTCTTTCATGCAGCATAATAGGAAATAGTTATTCAAGACAGATTCCCTTGGGGTAAAACACAACCCAGCAGGCACTGGCTTCCTGCTGGGAATCCTGTGTGCTTTGTCACTTTATACTAAATCACATCCTTCAAATATTGTGCATGTTGGAACAGCTGAAGAAGTGTTCATCTCTTATTAGTAGTTGACATTCTGGTAACTTAACTGTGTGCATACAGAGGTCTGTCTGTAACTGTAGGAACAGGTGGGGCTGCTCGGGACCTGGATAAGCAGCCGAGGAAGTCTTGTGATGAGACCATGACTAAAATTTGGAAATGTAGTAGAGCCTCATGTATGCAGGGAGAATATCATCATGCAGAGATTCATGTGGGAGTGCTGTGGCTCCATAGGCTGGAATGTTCACCACAGTGTTAGCACCTTGAGCCCACCAGCTGTTCAGTGGGAAGAAGAGGAGGCTTTCTGCTCCCACAGAGATTTACACCCTCAGAAACCCTACACTGGGTTGTTATGTGTCGAAACTGACTCAGTGGTACTTAACAACCACAACAGCAATAGCTTCATGTAGTCTGATACATGTTAAGACCATCTTTGCTCATGTGACTACTATTTGGGGACAATGACTACATTTAATTAATTCTCTTTGGGTGCTTCTAGTTTCCTAGTTCACTATTTATTTTTAAAAGCGCATAAGCTACTTTATCTCGGTGCCTCTGAAGGAAAGCATTTGCAGTCTTGCCAAAGTCTGTTTTGCGCAGCCTGGTGTGGCGTGCTGTAGGATGAGCGCTAGGCTACAAGGCCGGTTTGAACCACAAGATCAGTGGTTCAGACTCACAGTCTGCTACTCGGAAATCCTTTACAGGGTCACTGAGTCGGAACCGACTTGACAACACTTAACAACAACAAGCATATCTGGCATGGTGCCATAGGATCAGAACTGGACCGCAAGGTCGGTTTGAAGTGCAAGGTTGGCAGTTAAAACTCACCACCTGCTCCTTGGAAACTCTATACAGGGTCGCTGTGAGTCAGAGCCGATTTGACGGCACTTAACAACAACAAAGCAGGCATACAGGATGGACTGAAGAGGTGACCACTGACTGCCCCGTTTTCCTCTGCAGGGACATCAGCATTGCCTTCACCTCCTCCGCCACCACCACCACCACCACCAGCAGCTCCCTTGCCTCCTGCCAGCACAGAGGCACCTGCAAACCTCCCACCCCAGGCTGTGAATGGTGTGAGCCGAGGGGCCTTGCTCAGCTCCATCCAGAATTTCCAAAAAGGAACTTTGAGGAAAGCCGAAACCCGTGATCACAGTGCTCCTAAAGTTGGCTGAAACTTCTTGTTTACACACAGAGGGCAAAGTTCTTTTTTTTTTCTTTTTCCCCTTCCTGCCCCAAGCCCCTAAAGTACCCTCTCCCTGGATAAATCATTGCTGAGCCAGTACAACCACATACTATTTTACAGGTACTCATGTAAGAGGCTTTTCAAGAGAGAAATATTCTTGAAAATAATGGAAGAAAGTCAGGCTGGCATTACCGACTTGAGAGAAGAAATATTTTGCTCCTTTATTACCATTTGGAACGAGTCATGCTCATCCTCAAATGGACATCTTTTTGGGACAGCAGCATATTGAAATCACTATTAACATCAACTGAAGGAAATAGACAAAAAGAAAAAAGCAGCAGCAGTGACAATATTCAGTCACAGCAGTGAACGGCCTGTGTGTTGCAATCCCTCTCATTCCATGAGATTCCATAAGACAGCTCCTAGAAGCATTCCTTTCCTAGTTCATTTCTGTATTCTGAAGCATCTGCTGGTTATTTCTTAGGTAGCTCCCATGTTTGCTATTTGGATTTCTTCATAGACGTTCACACACCGTAGCCCACAATATAGTCGCTGAGGTCAGAGAGGTCATTAGAGTTGTACATTTTCCCCCCTGGATAGAATGGGGAAAGCTGGGTGCATTCTAACAGGAATCCCTCTGAGTTATAGAACTCAGGACTGCTGTAGCAAATACCCTAGACCCCTAATTCTGTTAGGCTGTGTTAAAGCAAACAAAATACATTGACATCAGAAAAACCTCTTGCCAATTTAGAGGTTCTTCTTAATCCTCAGCATAATTAAGTCAAGTTTGAGGTTTAGGAGGTGGGCGTCATCATTACAACACAAGTAGATTTGACATCTGTAGAAACCAATCCTGAATTTTGAAAGATTTATCTAAATACATCACCTTTTTAATGTTACTCATTTATTGGAAAGATTCTTTATCCTATGATTTGCTTAAACCCTTAAATAAATTGCACTTTAAAGGATTATAAGTAATCCATTTTAAAATTCAGATACACACATCAGTGTTGGCTACTATGCAGAGAGAATGTCATTGTGTATAGTTTCATGTAATCTGTGATATATGTTCAGCTGTATTTTTTATTAAAATAAACCATGCCAAGAAAATGTGTTGTCTGTAGCTTGGCTTCATATTTCAAATGAGAACTTATTTGACTTTAAAAAAAAAACAAAAAGACCTTATATTGTGAATTCGTTGAAACATTGCAAAGCAGATCAGTTTTTCATTCAACAATTCGTACACATTTTTTTTTTCCATCTCATTGAATGCAATCTCCTCAATGTAACATAATTTATTCCACTTTATCCTGGTTTCCTCTTTGCATTCCTCCTTCTTTCCCAACCCTTCTCAACTTGGTCTTTGAGATAATGATGCCCTTTCAATCGTAAATGCTTAAATATTCCAAAGTGTACGTATCTCCCTAGTGATAGTGTTTGTTCCCTTTATAGACCTAGCAGACTGAAACTGAACCATGGGGTGAGTTAATTTCCAAATGTGAAGGGTGTCTAAGGATCCTAGTCTCAGGAGTTCCACCTGTGTCTATTCAATCAGTGAACCTAGTTTTTGAGTTTGGTTCCACATTGTTCTCCCACTCTATCCAGTACCTTCTAATGTAATAGCTTTCAGAGTGGTAACTGGGCACCATCTAGTTCTTTTGGTCTCAAGGTCATAGAGACTGATGTTTGCATGTTTGCACTAGTTCATTGGACTAAATGTTTTCATGTGTCTTTGATTTTCTTCACTCCTTTGCTTTAGGCAGAGACCAATAATTGCACCTTAGATAGCTGCTCACCAGCTTTGAAGAACCTAGTCACTACTCACTACCACCGAAGTACGCGGTAAAACACTGTCTTTGTGAACAGCTACACCAGTTGACCTTGGTGTCCCCAGAGCCTATGGTTCTCAGTCCCCAAGCCCACCAACTCATTCCCTCACAAAATTATTTGGTTATTTTGTCTCCTACATGCTCTGTACCACATTCATGGAAATATTTGCAGCCTGTGAAACCTATATATATTTCTGGGTGTATGCTCACTCTCCCTCCCACATCCACTCAGCCAGTTTGCCTATCCATGAATCTACTTGTAGATCACTGCAGGATTGTGTATTTCACAGTATGACCTGTTGCCTTTAACTCTTGTACTCACTGCAGTCTTTCCCTGCCTCCATCATTTTATTTGCCAGCCTCCTGAATTGTGTATTGCCTTTCCCTTCACCCAAGTTAACAGGTGGCTACTCTCTAGTGAATGCGGAAATCATAGGACAATCTCTTTGATATCTCAAGCGAGTAAAGTTTTGCTGAAGGTAATACAGAAATGGCTACAATCATACATTGACAGAGAACATCCAGAGGTTCAAGCTGGATTCAGAAGAGGCCGTGGAACAAAAGATATAATTGCTGATATCCGATGGATCTTGGCTGAAAGCAGAGAATACCAGAATGATATTTACCTGTGCTTTATTGACTATGCAAAGGCTTTCGATTGTGTAGATCATGACAAGCTATGGACAACATTGAGAAGTATGAGTATTCCAGAACACTTAATTGTACTTCTGAAAAATCTGTACCTAGACCAAGAAGCAGTTGTTCGAACAGAACATGGGAACACTGAATGTTTTAAAATTGGGAAAGGTGTGAGACAGGGTTGTATTCTTTCGCCATACTTATTCAACCTGTATGCTGAGCAAATAATATGAGAAGCTGAGTTCTATGAAGAAAAACGTGGCATCAGGATTGGAGGAAGACTCATTAACAACCTGCGATATGCAGATGATACAACCTTGCTTGCTGAAAGTGAAGAGGACTTGAAACATTTACTTATGAAGATCAAAGAGTACAGCCTTCGATATGGATTATATCTCAATGTCAAGAAAACAAAAATCCTCACCACTGGACCAATAAACAACATTCTTATCAATGGAGAAAAGATTGAAGTTGTCAAGGACTTCATTCTTCTTGGATCAACTATCAACACTCTTAGAAACAGCAGTCAAGAGATCAGACGGCGTATTGCATTGGGCAAATCTGCTGCACAGGAACTTTTTAAAGTATTGAAGAGCAGAGATGTTACCTTGAGGACTAAGGTGCGCCTGACCCAGGCCAGGGTGTTTTCAATAGCCTCATATGGATGCGAAAGCTGGACAGTGAATAAGGAAGATCGTAGAAGAATTGATGCCTTTGAGTTGTGGTGTTGGAGAAGAATACTGAAAATGCCATGTGCTGCCAAAAGAACCAATAGATCTGTTTTGGAAGAAGTGCAGCCAGAGTGCTCCTTGGAGGCCAGGATGGCTAAGCTTCGTCTCTCATACTTTGGACATATTGTCCGGAGGAAACAGTCGCTGGAGAAGGATGTCATGCTGGGTAAGATGGGGGTCAGAGAAAAAGAGGAAGACCCGTAACGTGGTAGATAGGCCAGGTGGCATCATTGATGGACTCAAGTGTGGCAGCGGTAGTGAGGTTGGCCCAGGATCAGACATTGTTTTGTTCTGCTGTGCATAGGGTCACTATGAGTCGGTTCCGACTCGATGGCACCTGACAACAACTCTCTAGTCAATGACATACCCTAGGTTTCCCTCCCACCCCTAATAACTATCAAGTATTTTAGTATGATAATGGTTTCTTGACTCTTTCCCTCCCACCCATGATAACTATCAAGTATTTCTTTCAGTATGATAATGGTTTCTTGACTCTTACATAGTGGTCCCATACAGTATTTGTCCTTTTGTGACTAATTTCATTCAGCATGTCCTCCAGGTTCATTCATGTGGAGGTGTTTGCAGATTCACTGTTATTCTTTAACAGCATTCTATTGTGTTCATGTGCTCTGTTCATTTTCCATTGATGGGCATGTAAGTTATTTTCAACTTTATGCTATTGTGAACAGCGCTGTGATGAACACTGTTAAGTGCTGGAACATGGTGTACACTTGTCAATTTGTGCTGCAGCTCCAATTTCTCTAGCACATGCACCATGTAGAGGGATTGCTGAATCATATGGTATTTCTACTTCTGACTTTTTAAGGAAGGGCCATACTGTTTTCCAGTGGTTATACCATCAAATGACAACTTTATGTAGCATCTTTTGTAAACTGAAAGAATAGATCCAAATAGTATTTTGGAAGTTTCTTTCCCAATATCCTGTCTCTGTTTTTTTTTTTTTTTGCACTATTATTTTCCATCTTAATGAAGAAGTAGAAATCCTGTCTTGTTATTTAAATTAGGTACCATCTCTATGTTTCTGTATCTAATTTAAATTGTCTTTTCCATCTCAGTAGGCAGTGTATGACATAATGCTTTTCAACAAAAGGAAAATACCTGACATGAGTTCTGCTTTAATTTAAAAGGTAACCATACTAGAATACCTTTAGAATTATGAAGAGTCTACAGACAAGTTCCCATTCCAAGTGATGTGTGATCTGGGTGAAAAGTTCCTGATGGGAGATGTGACCAGAGTCCTTTTAAAGTTAGTTTTGCTATTTTGGGTGAAGCTTTAGTAAGTTGAGCAAAACGCAGCAATCATTTTTTCAGTACCTTAGTATAGCTTATCTTCTATTTGGTACTAATTTCTTAATAGAATTTAAAAATTTCTACCTTACATTTGGACTCCTGGTGTAGTGCCGTAGGGTAAGCACTGGACTGTGAAACAAAAAGTTAGTGGTTCAAGCCCACCAGCTGCTCCTTGGAAACCCCATACAGAGTTGCTGAGTCGGAACCAACTTGATGGCACTCAACAACAACAACCTTGCATTTATTATTTCAAGAATACAAAAATAGTCATCGTCAGGAATTCCTTTATTCTGTATCAAAACAATTTAAATGTAGATTATACACTTTTATACATGTAAGTTATCTTTTTAAGATGTATCTTTCATCAAGCCACATCCATACCTTGCCCTTCTAGTGAGACAGTAACATTTTGTATTGGTCTTATTCAAAGAACATGACAACTGTAACAGACAACAGAAAGTATGGAGAGAGTTTTCCCATACACAAGCACATTTTAACTTCCCAGAACAGTAACATCAGAGTTGTTGCTTTAAAGATAACTTTACTTTATGAATAAGGTCTTATAGTACAATTCAGGTGAAGTATCAGCAAGTATTTTAAATAAGAAATTCCAATGACTTAAAATTTAAGCCCAAATTTAGATGTGTAATGCCTTCTTTATTGCAAATATGATGTCTTTGACCTGAGGTACAGAGTTGTCTTCTAGAATCTTTGCATAAGGCATAGGGACATCAGCCCCAGTAACACGAATTGCAGGAGCATCCAGGTAATTGAATGCAGGACCTAGGAGAGAATAAATAAAGGCTTAAATGAGAGAAGGGCAACAAGACGGGGGCTCAGCTGAGTATCCCAGCTTGGCACAGGAAGAGTAACTGACAGAAAACATAGGGAAAGGAACTCTAATTATGAGAAGTTGTTTGTTGTTTTGCTTTTGTAACACTGAGCCAAACAGAAAAGTTGAAAGTTCTTGTCATTTGGCTACTGCTGACTTTTAATCTTTTTATTCAGTATTCAAGTGCACAAAGTTTATTACAGCTTAACTGCATCCAAGAACTAGTTTTTTGTGAAGTACCTTCCATGATCCTCGCACTAATTTCAGCTCCTACTCCAAACTGTGGCCAGCCTCCTTCCACGGTGACAAGATGATTTGTCTTCATGACACTAGCTTCTATGGTTTCAATGTCCATTGGTCTGATGGTACGCATATTTATCACCTAGACAAATAATAGAACAAATAAGTTTTATATACAAGCCACAGCCTTGTCCTCGTCATACCATAAGAAAATCTAATTTGTCTACTCGTATACAAATGTAAAAGAGAAAATTTAAATTAAAACAAACTTCCCTATCTCAACTACAAGTAGTTCTGTTAACTTGCAGAATTCACTAATCCTTCTTTGGCTTTAACTTTGTCCTCATCAAAATAAACATAACTAATAATTAAGTACATACTATGCTACAGGCGCTAGGCTAAGAGTAATTCTCATAACCACCCTATGACGGAACAGTATTTCTCTGAATGGTATTTCTGTTTTACAGCTGATGAAACTGACACTCAGAGCATATAACTGGCCCAACTGTACCTAGGAAGTGGTAGCTCCTGGATATAAGTTTCCCCTCTCTCCCAATCTCCAGGATAATCAAACTTGACAGTGGATTCTATTCTAAAAGACTCAGATCTCCAGTGGTTAAAAAGCTAAGATTAAATATTATAAAAGCAAGCAGGCCTCTAGCTTCAAACAGCTGCAAAACTTTATGAGTAGGTATATCTAGTTAACTATTATAAAATTTAAACTCCTAATTTAGAGTTTTAAATTTAAAACGAGCCTTTCTTATTCTTTAAGAACAAGTGAATGTCCACCTACCTCACATTCAATTCCCTCTTTAGATAGCACTGCTGCAGCTTCTAAGCAGTGGCCAACAGGTCTTGAATGGGAAACCACAGTTATATGCATTCCTAAAACAGATAAGCAGTTGTCACAGGTAAGCAGTCAGGTTGAAACTAAAGATTCTGTACCACCCTGCAGCCAGCAGTGGCTCCTGTTAATTTGTACAGTCTCCAACTCCACTTCATTCAGTGTACATGAAGAATGTGGCAGCCTTTCTTGAAACAAAATGTAAATCTACTAAACTGAAATTTAGAAAAGGACAACCACACATTTTTTACTTGAACTCATCTACATTTTTTAAAATTCAAAATAAGGGACAATGACTTGTAAACTGAACTTGAGCAATATCAATAGAAAGGAGCTCTGGTAGCGAAGCGGTTACGAATCGGACTGCTAACCTCAGGGTCAGCAGTTTGAAACTACCAGCTGTTCCACAGGAGACAGATGAGGCTTTCTGCTCCCATAAAGATTTACAGCCTCGGAAACCCTGTGCAGGGTCGCTATGAGTTGGAACCGACTCCACGGCACATAACAACCACCACAACAATATCAATAGAAGAGCTGAATTAAAACAGTGTTTAAACTCTTACCTTGCCTTTCTACTTTGGCTTTTCCAATAGGAATCAGAAAATCTTTTGACTGAGCTGCATCAGGTAATTCGAAAGGAACTCCATACATCAGTTCATTCTCTAGCATTACCACTGCAAAATAAAGTTTTAAACAAAAGGAAATATTGAAATTATATCCAGAAAGATTAAAAAGTTATAGATAAGGATATCATATATTTTGTGCAAAGTTCCACTATGCTAACAAAAAACCCATTGCCACTGAGCTGAGTAATATAATTAAGTTTTCAGAAATAAAGCTACTCATTCTTTACTATTTTTACTATATCTGTAAATCATTAACAGTTTAACTAAAACTCACAAACTAACTCCATTGCTGTCAAGTGGATTCTGGCTCATAGAAACCTTACAGGACAAAGTATAACTGCCCATAGTTTCCAAGGCTATGAACTTCATGGAAGCAGACTGCCACATCTGTTTCCCACAGAGGGCATGATTGGTTCAAACTCCCAGCCTTTCAGTCAGCAGCTGCGTGCTATAACCGCTGTGCCACCCAGGCTCTAGTCCAACTGAAGCCTTTAATGGTCCCTTTTAAGCAGATTTCATTTTTGTTCCTTAATGTTCGAAAAGGAGTCCTCGTGTGGCACTGCAGGACAAGCACTGGACTGCAGGTCATTTGAAGCACAAGGTTGGTGGTTCAAACTCACAAACCGCTCCTTGGAAATTCTATACAGTGTTGCTATAAGGCAAACCCGCTTCGATGGCACTTAACAAAATAAATGTTTAAAAAACACTGAAGGATCATGGTGCTGACCTGGATTGTTATCCCGAATGGCTGATTTAATAAGTCCTTTTGCATCCTCTGAATTCCAGGGGCTGACCACCTTTAAGCCTGGGCAGTGCCCGTACCAGGCAGCAAAGCATTGTGAGTGCTGTGCAGCCACCCCCGCTGAAGCACCATTGGGCCCTCTGAAGACTATGGGCACAGACTGAAGGCCCGCAGACATGTAGTAGGTCTTGGCAGCCGAGTTTATAACCTGATCAATGGCTTGCATAGAGAAATTGAAGGTCATAAATTCACAAATGGGCCGCAACCCAGCCTGCCAAATAAAAAACATGGATGTTAAAAAGAATAAACTCACAGCACTGAAAAGTGACAAACAACTACTCCGTTCCTCCAATGTTCAAAGTGTTTTTAAAAGGAAAGAAATCTTTTCAGAAGAGCTTCACAGACAAAATTACATACCATTGCAGCACCTACGGCAATTCCGGCAAAGCCCATCTATAAAGCAAAGTCCAAAATGAGTGAACGTCCATAAAAATATTAACAGTGTACACTTTAACCAATATCTGTTTCTTATTGGAAGGCTTACCTCAGAAATGGGAGTGTCTATGATCCTTTTGTCGCCGTATTTCTTCCATAGGCCCCGACTAACCTATTATTACAATTGATCCCGTTAATTTTCAGCGTATCCCGGAGCAAACAGCCACTTCAATTTGGTTTAATGTTCACATGTTCTGATTACCTTGTATGCCCCATCATACTGAGCAACTTCCTCTCCAAGCAGAAAGACCTTCTCATCTCTTTCCAGCTCCTCATCCATCCCTTGATTGATAGCATCACGAACTGTCACCTGTTACAAGCATGGGTGAGGTCAATAATCTACGGAATTATTAAGGATACTGCTGAGATCCTCTCCCATTTTACTCACTTAGGCTGCCCACAATATACAGGAGGCTTCAAAAACTCCATGGAAAAATACAATGGAAAGATAATGTCATTTTCCCATGAACTTCTGAAACCACCTCATACCATATAAAAAGCGAACACTGTAGGCTTCTATTTAAAAACTCACAGAAATCTGACAGTCGTTTACTAGTATACAGAGCTGGTCTTGGGAGCGTTGAGAAGCTTACTGAGCCTGTCTGTTGATGTGCAATCAAGATTAAGGAAAATGCTTCACTTGGCCAGACCAGCTAGCTCACAGGCCGCTTCCTAAGCAGAAAGGCGAGTGAGTGGCTGTATTTCCATACTTGGTGCAGTGTGGGGCAGAGAACTGTCAAGGTGGCATAACTGATACTACCTAGGTGCCAGGCCTGCCACACGCTGCCTTCAGGGTCTCATTTAATCCTCACAACGGTGTTATTTTTACCACACAGGTGATACAATCCTTTAATTAAAAACAAAAGGGAAGCCCCGTTTTTACAGACTGCCCATCTGATCTCCACCAGCGTAGCTCGCGGGTGACACTCGGGGATGACAAGGTGGCACGAGTCCCACTATAGTCCAGTGCGGCGAGCGGACTGGGTCCTGAACCACTTGGGGATCAAGAGTGTTTGCACAGTTCAGAGGGGCCAGAGGAACCAGACAGCGTGCGAGGCTGGAAAACAGGAGTGATACGGGACTCTACAGATCCCAAGGCCCGCGGTAGCTATCCGGACACCACGCAAACGCGACCCCGATCTCGACTCCAAGGCCAGCACCCACGCCGGTTACCTGCAGCGCTGCTGGCGCCGACCGATGGAAACGCCTCCTCAACAGCCCAGACACCTGGAGGGGAGAGACAAAGGGTGTTCAGAGGGGACGCAGGGCAGACAAGGATCTCGAGACTCCCCGGAATCTCTTCACGGCTGCTCACTTGCTGAAGGGGCCTCCGCACCAATCCAGACGCCGTCGCCATCTTGCCCGTGTCCTCTAGCAGCCTCCTGAAGACAACACAGAGGGACCAACAAATGTGGATAGGCCCCGCCTCCCCAACTGCCGCGGTCCAATGATGGAGCGCAGAGCCGGCATGTCCTGCCCACCGAGAGGAGCCAAGGGGCGGGACCGAGGTGGCGCGTGGGGTGACCCTGCCCTTACGTCAGGGTTCAATTCAAATCAACTTTATTGACTGTGGGCGGCAGCTGACAGGCTGGTGCACACCCGGAACACGCCTCAGGGTGATGGGTGCTGGAAGCTCTGGGAGTAAGAGTAGGGCTCTCAGGAGCACAAGTGTTCGAGGCTGGGGGAACCTTATAACATCAGTGCTCTGCGGGCGCTAGAATCCTTTGTGACAGGGAACTTAGCACTTTATGAGTGAACCTGGACAGTGCTGTCTTGTTGATTCCTTAGAATGTGAGCGATAACCTTCGTTCACGCATTAAGTGCCTACTCTGTAGGGGTGGTGTTGGTGTACACTGAGTCGGTTCCGACTCCTAGCGACCCTTTCTAGGGTTTCCTAGACTGTAAATCTTTATGGGAGCTACTGGTAGCCTCGAACTACTCAGGCACTATAGTGCTTTGTAGCAAAAAACAAAGCTCGCGGCCATCTAGTCAATTCTGACTCACGGAGACCTTATAAGTTACAGGGTAGGACTGTCCCATATGGAAGCAGATCACTAGGTCCTTTGGTGTGTGTGTGTGTGTGTGTGTGTGTGTGTGGCGCCGCTGGGTGGGTTTGAACCGCCAACTTTCGTTCGATCAGTGGTGCCATTTAGCTATCACAGCAACCCTATTAGGTAGTGTTAGTTAAGATTAGCTCCATTTTGCGGACTGGTAAACTGAAGCAGAGACTGGTTAAATGAGTCTAGATTTGAATTTAAAACTATCTGCTTGAAATAGACTCCTCCCATGGCTTCCTAAAGAGGTTACAACAATGTGCATTCAGAGAGGGACTTATAGAGGGGTGCCAAACACCTGATTGTGGGGGCTGCCTCTAGAAGCTTCCTCTGTTGTCCAAAAGGTTAGGTAGGACCATTGTGGATTCCCTTGGTCCCTACTTGTCCCCCCAAAACATTTCATACAAAACCTGTCTGTGACCCAGAACTTTAGGCCACAGTGTGTAACCTTCAGGGCTGATCATCTGGATTTAATGTAAGGAGTTTTTAGTATGCCAGTGCTGCAAGGGTATAACAAGACCCCAGAATTCAGTCTGAGTGAGAAGAGGCAGCGTGGAGTAGGGCAGGAGCTGGGAGACCTGGGGAGAGGCTGAGCAAAGAGCTGTTGGGAATGAAGGAGGCACAGGTGTGAGATCTATTGGACAGGAATCAATTGCATTGCTGTGAAAGAAAATGAGAAAGTGAGGAGAAACTCTGGGGGGGGTGGGGGTGGGGTTGTTACTGGATGGATGGGAAAGGGAGAAGGCTCTTGAAGGTGCAAGTTTGAGGAGTTGGGAAAGAGCCCATTCTGAACAGGCTGAAATAGATGACTGGGAGATATCCAGGTGGGATATAAGACCCTGGAGCTTAGAGACTAGATGAGGCTAGAGTTTTACATTTAGGAACAGCTGCAAAGAGTCGTAGTCTTTAATCTCTGGGGCTCTGCTTCCCACCAAAATCCACGGCCATCGAGTTGATTCCTACTCATAGTGATTCTGTATTGAGTTTCTAAGAGTAAATCTTTATGGGAGCAGAAAGCCTCATCTTTCTCCTGTGGAGCCCCTGATGGGTTTGATCCACTGTCCTTGTGGTTAACAGTTCAGTGCTTATCATAAAGTGCCACCAGGGCTTCTTGGGCTTCTGCTTATTCATTTGTAAAATGGAGAGATGGTCTCTCAAATATGGAGTCAAGACCATCTAAGTCTCCCTCACCTGTTGCCGTCATTCATTCCATTCAGTCACTAGCAAGAGGTCTTGGTTAGTTAGAAATGTGTCTGGAAGTCCCAGGAGCCCTCAGTACTTCCCAGACAGCCTGAGAAATGTTTGCATTTGAAATGTTAGCCTGTAAGGGACTGATTCAGAAGGAAAACAGGAGTGTACTTCACACCGTATCCCAGCACTGAAACATTTCAGGATCCGGGTAAAGGAACAGTGACCCCAAGAGAAGTCAGAATCTGGACTGTGGTCTGGACAAAGACCAATATCTATAACAGCCAGGAAATACCAATCCTGTGCAGCCAGTCCCAGCGCTCAGTCAAAAAGGCAATACAGCTCCGCAGACCTCAGCTGGCACAGCGGATCATTTTATTTTGAAATAATGGCTATAGACATTTTCAGACACATTAGATATGTTCATAAGTCCATATACTTTCAACTTCTATAAATGGCCAATTTGGGAAGTTTGGGCACAACTTTCTTTAAGAGTTAAAAATACAAAAGATTTTATTTTATGCCAAATTTTATTATTTTTTTAGGACATTTATTCAGTATCATGATCAGACATTTAGCAATCAACAGCATGGATAAAGGAAAAGATTACATTAAAACTCTTTGTGAGACTGCTTTACACTTCCCACAGAACAGAAACTACGTAAAATAGCGTGTTACGCAATTAGTCACAAATATAGTCCTCGAGTTTTTGTCCGTGCAGATGAGTATTATCTAAGACAAATCATCCTTATAGCAGGGAGGCCCTGCCACCACTGTGCTTAACTGATTTGACAAATCTGTTGTAACCTGTAGCTTCCCTGTCACTTTTCTGGCTCTCATCAAAACTAAGCTTTGTTTTCTGGCACTCATTCACACCTTCTGCAACACTTGAACCACCATAGCCACCTTAGTTTTTATGGGTTGACCAAGTATTGACCTCCACCACCATATGGACCAGAGCTTCTGTCTCCAAAGTTTCCAAAATTCAAGACTGATGGTTTTATTTGCCAAAATCATTGTTTTGTTGTTGTTGTTATATGCCATACCACCTCCAAAATTGCTTCCACCATTTCCATATCCATGATATCCATGCCCACTGCCTCCATATCCCCACCACCGCCACAGCTACCACCCAAGCCACCTCACCCACTGAGATATCCTCAATGACCAAAGTTGTCATTCCCACCAAAACCCCACCTCCATGGCTACCACCAAAGTGTCCTGAACTACTTTGACCTCTTTGGCTGGAAGAGGCATTGGCCGTCTCTTGCTTTGGCAGGGCTTTCCTGACTTCACAGTGTGGCCATTGTCATCTCTGGAGTCATGGTCATCAAAAATTACAGAAGCAAAGTCCTTCTTAATGCCACTGCCTTCTTAGTCAGGCATGATTTCCATTACTTCAATTGTCACATACATACAATTTTCAATATAATCTCTTAGGTGATGTTCTTTAGTGTCTTTTCTCATGCCACCAATAAAGAAAGATCTTAGTCACTGTTTAATGGAGCCTAGTCCTGGTATGGTGCTGTAGGATAAGCACTAGACCACAAGGTTGGTCTGAACCGCAATGTTGGTAGTTTGAACTCAACAGCCGCTCTTTGCAAACCCTATACAGGGTCACTATGAATTGGTACTGACTTGGCACTTAACAAGTCTTTGAGAGTCTTCTGGTGAGACAGCCCTCTTTGGTTCCACAACTGTTCCATCTGCCTTGTGTGGCTTTACATTCATGACTGTATCCACCTCCTCCACAAGAGAGTAAGTGACCAGTCCAAAGCCTCTAGAGCCCTGGGTGTTTGGATCGCTCATTACTACACAGTTCATTGCCCAGAATGGCTCTTCTGATTCATCTATTGTTTCAAACTTGAAATAAATAGGATCATAGAATGTATATGTTGCATGTTTGTGGTAAAAAATGGTATTAAAAAGTATTTATCACTTAGACATTTTTTTTTAAGTTTTTATTGTGAATTGAGTGATGGTTTACATGGGAGAACACTGGTTTAACACTCATCCTATTGTACTTCGGTTCTTTGCAATGATTACAATCCCTTCTGTGCATCATCACTCAACAGTATTTGCTTCTATTCCTTCTTGTTTTGTTTTGTTTTGGATGTACACAAAAACACTCAGGAATATATAATCATTTAAACAACCCAAGGGCACATTCTGCAAGCCTGCCACCTGACTGCCAGCACGCAGCCTTTCTCTTTCCATGAGTCTAGAATCCTCCATTTTCACATTTTTTTATATGTGCAATTCAGTCACTTCAATGATGGTCATCATGTTGCAGAGCCGTCACCGCCACCTGTTACAGAAATTCAGTTCCTACAAAGTAATGACTTCTCTTCTTCCCCCTCCTCCCACCCCTGGTAGCCACTAATAAACTTTGGTCTCCATACATTTGCCTATTCTAGATATGCCATTTAAGTGGGATCATACAATATCTGTCCTTTTGTGACTGACTGACTTATTTCACAGAGCATAATGTTGTCAAGGTTCATCCATATTGTAACATGCATCAGAGCTTCATTTCTCTTTATTGCTGAGCAATGTTCCATTGTACTGATATAGCACTTTTTTTTTTAATCCATTCATCTGTTGATGGACAGTGTTTGCTATTGTAAATAGTGTTGCAATGAGCATTGGTTTACAAGTGTCTGTATGAGTCCATGCTATCAATTCCTTTGAGTATGTGTGTAGGAATGAAACTATCATATGGTAACTCTATGTTTAACTTTTTGAGAAACTACCAAATTACCACTTTACAATCCCACTAGCAATGAATGAATGTTCAGACTTCTCTATGCCACCATACGGGTTATTTTCTATTTTCCTTCTGATCGTAGGCATCCTAGTAGGGATCAAGTGGTATCTCATTGTGGCTTTCATTTGCATTTCACACACATGGGGTCTCCATGAGTTGGAAAATACTCGACAGCAACTAGCAACAATGAAAAACGATTTTATGTTTTCAAGTTTCTGGTCATTTGCATATCTTCTCTGGGTTGCCTTATTATTGTTAAGTTGTAAGAGTTGTTTTTGTTGTTGTTTTGTTTTACCCTAGAAAATAAATCCTTTGTGGAGTCCTGGTGTGGCACTTTAGAGTAAGCACTAACCAAAAGGTTGGTGGGTCAAAGCCCCCAGCCGCT